AGTGTGAGTGATGAGAAGAGAGTCACCATTACCAATAAAAACTTGATCAGGAGAAGAGGTCGATGCAAAAGACGAAATGAAAAGTGGTTCATGAGTCATATGATTTATGGCTCGAGAGTCCAAGTACCATAGGAAATCAATAGGACTAGTAACATGCATGCCCTTAAAGGCACGAGATAAATCAGAGTTTGTGGACATTGGGCGGGAAGGTGGCCAAACTATGGCAGTTCCAACACTGACGAGGCCCATAAAATTGTGGCGCATGCCTTAAAAGCCTTGGTGCAGACCGTTGAGCATGAGGATGATTTGGTCCAACAGAAAAAAAGCCCATGCTGATGGGACACTTGAGGAAAGCTATGGTGTCAAGAAGCACTGCCACGAGTAGAGGGAAGAGAAGCAACAAAAGTGGACGGCTATGGGGTAGAAAATAATTGGGCTCATGGCTTGTTGTGCTTCAAACGAAAGCAAACAAGTACGGAGATCCAAGAAGGACGGAGGAGGTGGAAACTACAAAGTAGCAGTACAAACATGCTATAATCTGGTCCCAAACCTCGGAGAACACAAGTAACCATATCAGCAGGAGATACAGGTTTTTTAATGGCAGAAAGTTGATCAGAAATTTCCTTGGCCAGGTGAAGATACTCAAACACAGTTTTGGAGCCCTTGGTGATGGACATGAATCACATCTTTAGCTGAGCAGAGTTGGCAGCAGAATGTTGAGAAAAGTTTAACATTCCCAAATAGCCTGGGATGTGGCAAGACCAACAACCTGAGAAAGAACCGGTTCCGTAAAAGTCGTACGAAGTTGGCTGACTAACGATTGATCAGCTTGGTACCAAGGAAGGAAAGTTGGGTTGGGAATGGTAGCAGGTTTGTCATTAGTAGACTTAGATACAGGATCAAGAAAAGTGACGGAGGGACAGGGATAGAAACCATCAATGAAACGCCAAATATTGTGTCCAACAAGAAAGGGTTTGGCTTGACCCTCTCAGATAAGGTAGTTGGTATCTGTTAGTTTGATAAAAACTAGGGTGGCAACGTTTGGAGTAGGAGCAAGAGAATAAGAGGAATGAGCAGCCATGAGGGAAAGGAGCAAGGATTCCAAGATCAATAACTAAGCAAGAAAAGATGATACCATGTAGAAAAGTAATTTTCCTTAATCATCAAATGTACATCAGTACAATATTTATACATGAATTGTCCTCATAACCACCCTATACTAATTACAAATTGCATAACGGAAAGTGGTTACAAAGAACTCATTCAATGGACGATTAAAAGGGTAACTCCCTAACATGTAAGTTATAAAATAATTAGTAAGGTCATTATCACAAGATTAAAGCCTATTTTGGATTGTTGTATTCTCAAAATCAAGGTAGGATAATATTTTGGTTGCACATGAATTGTTTTTTAACTTTAATAGAAAACAGGAAGGACGAGGTACATAGCCATCAAGCTGGACTAGGAGAAAGCCTATGATATGATTAATTGGTACTTTATCAGGTATGTCATTCTTAAGTTTGGTTTTAGTGTGAGATTGGCGAATTAGATCATGGAATCCATTACCTCTACCTCCTTCTCAGTCATCATTAATGGTGATACACATGGTTATTTTTATCTAAGGAGATGAATTAGATAAGGGGATCCTTCATCTCCGTATATCTTTATTTTATGTATAGAGCCTTTAATTAGACATTTAAATGAGTTATCCTTCACTCAAAATCTCATGTTGGCCTTTTAATGTTTCCGTTTGGTTTTAAGATATCTAATTTAGTTTTTGTTGATGATTGTTTATTGTTTGGTAAATCTACTACCAAAGGTGCTAGAAATGTATTGGTTAATTTTGAACGATTTTGCAACGTCTCTGGCCAGCAGATAAATTTCTCTAAATCTTCACTCTACTTCTCAAATAATATGACCATCCACTTAAGAAATGAAATCATAAATATCATGCATATTCAACATAAAAATACAATTGGAAAATATATAGGAATTCATAACATTGTGTTTTAGAAAGGCGTTGTAAATGGTAATGAACTAATTAGAAGAGTTGAACAAAAGTTTGCCAGTTGGAAGACTAATACTCTTTCCACAACCGGAAGGTTAACTCTTGTCTAATCTAATCTTACAAGACTGCCAAATCATGTCATGTCATGTTTTAAATGTCCAAACAAGCTAACTGTCAACTTAACAAAGAGTTTAGAAATTTCTTCTGGGGAAAGGGTAGTAATTTCAACCCAATGAGTTGGAAGAATGTTTGCTCTCCTAAAAGTTCTAGGGGATTATTAGGATGAGAAGATTATATCATTTTAATAATGCTTGTTTAACCAAATTAGGTTGGAAAGTTTTGTTAGAAGATAATAATTGATGGGTTCAAATTATCAGGAAAAAGTACTTAAAACATGAATATATGTTAGAAAGTAAAATTAGACAAAATCATTCATTGGCTGGAAATGTATACTTAGTTGCAGAAATGTCATCCTCAAAGGAATGAAGTGGGTGGTGGTGGTGGTGACGTTAAGAACATTTCATTCTGGACTCATCAATGGGTTTTTCCTTACTCACTTTTTTACTTAGTTCCTAAAACCAGAGACATCTAATTGATTGCAATCTATAAGTAGGGGATTTTATAATTAATATGGCTTTGGAATAGTGCTTAATCAGGTGGTGGAGGACCTTATTGTAAGAAAAAATTTCACTATTCTTATTTCTATATAGAATACCCAGGACAAGTTCGTGTGGGGACCAAATGTTAATGGTTAGTTTATTGTGAAGTCTGCAACTGGGATTTAGAATGAGAATCAAGAAACTTCTTCAAGACAAAAGCTTCTGAATAAGATGTGGAAACTAACCATTTCTCTGAAAGTGAAGATATTTGGTTGGTTTCTAACTAAGGGCAAACTACAAACAAGGAAAAGAGTGAGCAAGTACATTAAAAATATTGACACTAAGTGCCCCCTCTGTAAAATGATAGAAGAAAATCAAGACCATCTATTTCTGAACTATAAATATGCAAAAAAATTTTGTCAAATCTCTAATGATAGATATCTAAATAATGCTAGTCCTTCGGATGGTATTTTGGATTTGTAAGAGTCTCTTCCTAACCGAGAAAAAATGGACTTGTGTTATTTGAGCAATGGCGTCTTAGTTTGTTGGTAAATTTGGAATGATAGAAATGGTATTGTATTTAAGAATGAACAGCCAAATCCTAATGGATTGTTTAATTACCATTGGCACTAGTCCACAAAGTGAAAAGATAAATAACAGGATTAAGTGGTCTTGCCCAAGTGCCCCATTCGTAAAAATAAACTTCAATGGATTTGTGGTCAACAATGTAACTGCTGCTGGGTTCACTATAAGGAATGAACATGATTGCTAGAGCCTTGAACCTGGGGAAAACACTATTGTGAGGCTATGTGATGGGCTAAGAGAGCACATTTGACCTACATTATTGTGGAAATGGATTCTAAGCTTATCATTGATGCAGTTCGACACTTCTTGGAACATTAAATCCATTTTGAAGGATATTAAATGGTGTGCTGCTTCTCTTCAGGAAGCCAGATGGTCTTTTGTTTATAGGGAAGTGAACTTTGTGGCCGTTATCTTAGCTACTATTGGTCGAAGTGTAGAAATTTTGCATATTTGGGATTCTTGTATCTCGGATAAGGCTTACAATGTGTTATTTGACTATAGAGGAGGTTGTACTAGAGGTTTTTCAATTTGAATGAAATCTTTATTTGGAGCAAAAAAAAAAAAATCTAAATCTCTAAATTTAGAATCACTGTGTCCATACGGATCCAGAAGATTTTGGCTATGAAAATATAATAACAAAAATATGTTATCCTACACTCTTACTTATACATATTTTGCATTGTAATTGTAGAAAAATAATTTTCCTTGTATATACTCTATTCCCAATTACATAATATATAGAATACATCAGTATAATATTTAATTACACCGTTCTAAAAAAATTTGCCTAAGTGCTAGGCTACTAGCCACTGCTCCGATTAATCTTCAAGTGTTTGAAATACAAGAAAGGGCGCGTAGGTCGTGACTCTCACTTAGACAAAAAATAGATAACTTTTATTTTGCATTTTTATTTTTTCTATAAATTATATGAGACTTGTTTAATTCTTAGATGAACACTCATTATATACTTGTTCCCTATGTTTTCAATATGTTATAATAGTTTATATTCTATATGTCATTCTATTTTACAATTTATGCATCTCAATACAAGTATGTATTTTTTTATGTATAAGTAGACATTTATTTATATCTTATATAATAAGTTTAATTTAAACTGAAAAAAGGCCAAGGGCTCTGTCTGCCCACTGTCTAGGACCTAGTGCCTTTTAGAATCTTGATTACAATTGAATGACTTGGAGTGCATAGTAAGACATGCCCTATATAAATTTCTATTCTTGACGCAATTTTAGAGATTACAGAGAAATTTGTGGAGACGAGATAATCTCGCTAACATGCAGCTTGTGGAGGGATTTGGTGAGGATTGTACATTACAATTTTTCATTTTTGACGCAATCTAAGAGATTATGGAGAGAATGTTGCTAACAGTAATTAATACACCGTCAATAGCCTTAATGAGGTGTCACGCACCTCATATTCAAACTCGATAACTTATGAAACACAAACATACGATAAACGTGTGGCACTACGTGTTAACTTCTCAAACACTATAATAAACATAATCTTTAGTCTCAGCGGACCCGAGGTTACAAATGTGGGAACATAAATACCCTCTTATTATAGAAACAAGAACATCGGCAAACAATTGTAATTTAAAAGTTGGTTGAGATTTTTCCGTTATTTATGTGGAAACAAAAAATAGAATATACTAGAAATTTGTACCCGCGCGATGCTACGGGATTTAAAATCATATGAAATATTTTATAGGTTCAATTTTCACAATGTTTGAGTGAAAAACAGAGAATTATGAATGGCAAATGAGTAATAAGTCATTGAACCAATCAGCGAACTTTATTTAAATAGAACCAAATGAGTAATAGGTCATTAAACCCTCACTTCACCATTCTAATTTTTTACATATCTGTATGTGTATATATGAGGGTAGTCATTCAACCCTCACTTTTTTCTTTTTTTAGAGTTCTGCATACTAATTGGAGGAAACCAAGGAATTCGAAGCTTTTCCATACCTCGGCTTATATTTTGAGGGAATTTAATGTGTTCTTGGAAATTGGTAAAAGTGAATGTGGAGGAATAGGGGAAGAGTCCATTGTCTGTCAAGCTCTTCCCTTTGAATTGCTGTAAAAGAAACTCTCACATCCACCATTCCACCATTCCTCCTATTCAAATTGAAAAAATTTTAAGAAAAAACTCGACAGAAAATCACTATATAGTTCAATAAGTTTGGAATCTTTGTTATTTTCCTGAAGAATAAAAGGTGGAAACTTTACCTGAGGAACTGAAAGCCAAGCTGTGATGAGAGCAAGGCAGATGGTGCTGGAAATGTTATGGAGGGACAGAATCAGAACTGATAGGATTGAATAAATCAGTCAGAAAACTCAAGATGTGATCAACCTGTTTGTTGCCGACCTGCATCCACGGAAAAACCATACAAAAAAATCGCTAATTAGATTCGATAGCATACCACAATGTCATGGTACAAAGTTATTTGTAATCACGAAATTAGTCACCTGAAATCTGCCGGACAACTCATCAGGAAACCCAACTTTTTTTGGGTTTAAATTTTCTCCCAATCCGAAACGGATTCATCTAAAACACAAAGTCGAACGGGCTAAGCCCTTCAATGGACTGTGATTTAACAGAGGTTCACAATCTCTCCAACAGTGCGTCAGCAGTGCTACTTATTTCTTAGGTTCTGAACTGGGAAATCCCCAAATGGGCAAATCCAAATTTTATCATTAAAACCAAAATTATAGTAAGAAAATAATAATTATAACAGCTTGTACAAACATGAGTTTTTGAAATTCACCTGCCTTAACTTGTGCACATTTTCCATGCAGAGACCCTTATGTTTTTTTGGTGGTTTAAAAGCCTGCAAATCACGGGAGGCTGTCCATTCTGTTACAAAGATGCAGAACCAAAATATATATTTTATTAATTTTCGAGAGCATAAATGAACATATTAAATTGTATGTAAAGAATGTATAGCAAAAGAAATCTCGACACAACTCTACCACAACAATAAGAAATTTCAAATAGAAAAAATCTACCAACTATCATACGGATGATTTTTAAAATGAATAAAAGACTACCCTATTATGGAAAGCTTATACCCTTCATTTGTTTACTGTTCTTGATGAGTTAGAAAACACAACCAAACAAAAGAAAGGTCATGTCTGATAAGAAGGTTTCATTTATAATTATTTCTATTTCTACATAAATACTAATAAATTAAGCTCCCAATGATCTACATAAACATTTGCAGGGCGCTCTTTTCCATCGACGGAAATGACTGAAATAGATTCACCCCATGTCTTAATGACATCAGTTATGTGTGGAACCACCTAAATCGACTCAAATCATAGAAGAAAGGCAGTCATCAATGTTCAAGCAAGTGAAGCAAAAAAGAAAAGGTAAGACATATGAACATTGTGATTTTGTACCATGACCTAAACAGTCTTGCCAACATAAGGGCACAGGACAAAAATGAATGAACTCAATTGCAATACGCTAAACGTTTAAGGTATTGGATAACCAAATTATCTGAAGTTCAAGATATTGGATTAGCTACATACAGATTTGGAGACAAAACCAATAGATCTAGGCCTGTATAGCTTGCAGTGAATAATGTTATCAATTGTTCCAGCAATGTCACCAATCTTAAAAGCTTCAGCTTGAATTCCTCCAACAGTAGCAGGGCCAATGACAACCTGCAAAAGATACGATAATTAAAGTTAGTATCGCTAGTTCATTTTCACAGGTTAGTGAAATTAAGATAACTTTGCATCAATGGTGTAACCTTGTTGTTTGCCCGTGCATATGCGATCAATTGCTTAGTGTTTGACTTAGGTACACCTTCAGTAATGATTGCCACAACTCTAATGGTTGGTTGCATAAGAGCAGCCATGGAAGAAGCGGAAGCATTGCAAATATATCAACATACATTCATCGTTAGGTACAACCATAGAAGTTTCGCACTCCAGAACACTACTCATAGAATAATCATTGACCTTCTGTATGAAGCAAAGTTGATTAAGACATCAGCAATAGGATGTGCAGCGCATGATGCTTCAATGCTGTAACAGTTATCAACCCAAAGGTCAGACAATCTTGAAACAACAGATCAAGAATGGTAATCTGACTATGAACATGATTTGAATACATTGGATATGGAAAATTAAGATTAACCAAGCATACATGCATATACATAACTATACAAAAGGTGGTTTGTAGCCATGAAAGTCAAAATTTAGGAAGAGGATGAGAGAATGGCAACTTACTTTGAGTGCACTGATATGGCAATTTCCTCTTAATGGAAAAATAGCTTCTGAAATCCCTCAGAACCAGGGTTAATGATTCCAGCAAACTAATGGTGTCTCCCTCCCTATTACAAACCTCAGTTATTACATTTACATCATTTTCAAAAACTAAAAACTATAAGCAAGATCAAGTTTGAAGTCAAAACTAGGAAATGATACACACTGCAAAGGAAGTCAAAATTGAGTTAGAAGCACCTGATATATCTTGCCAGCGATAATGTTGTTATCCCTAGTAAGAGTCACATCTAGGAAGCGTTCATTGTTGCTAGGGTCCAAATCAACCTACAATTACGATTAGAGTTTAAACAAACTCAGCATTGCTTAAAGTTTAAAGATAAGACTAACACTCAACATGATACCAAGAAAGAATGCAAAAATAAATTAAAGATATGATTAAAATTATTTGTTCTAATCGAACATATTTTCTAGTTTTCTTATCCAATTATACAATTGCAGTTCCTAAAACAAATAATAATTAAAAAATAATTTGCAGAAAGAAAATTAGAAAATTCAAACTTGATAACAATCTACCTTAAGAAACCCCATGACCGAGTAACAGCAGCAACAACATTGAGACATAATTTGGTGAATATATATGGCAGACAAATTTAACAACTCTAGTATTGTTAACAAAGTTTCAACCAATACAACAGAAATCAAATCAATATATACCTGCATATCCCGAGTCCGAATTGTACACTCGTGCCCTGCAATGTCTTGGTGAGTGACTCTTGCTATGAATTGGCACGATGCTGATTGTCTTGTAAATCTGCAAGCAAAATATACATATTGTTAGGAAAAAAGTGTCTATATATCAAAATGTGTAATATGCAAGTTTTTAATTGCAGATGTATGCAAGCTACAACCTGTTGTTAAATTTTGCAGAACATCTTTGTAAACTATATTTTTTGTAAATGTATTTGGCATTTCATTGTTGTTAGTAATTAAAACTTTGAGACCCTCTCTTGATGCGACTCTAGATAATGCAACATATAATTGACCATGAGTGAAGACAGGTTGTGGAGTCCCACTTGTTTCAATGATTGTTCTTGACTTTTGTTAATTGTCATTGCATAACATGGTCTTATTGGAAATTGACGTCCTTTCAATACAAAAGGCCATTTGTTTTCAGTTGCTGTCAAGGTTATTCTAGGAATGAAAACTTTGTAATTAATGTTGTTGCTAGCAAGTATTCTAGCTTCAATAATTCTATCAAATAATTGAGTCACAACCAATCTTGTTCCATTACACAAACCTAAAGATTGGTTTAAATTTCGGAGCAACATAATAGGCATTCCAATCTTTAAAATTAACTTGTGTGAAGGCAAGCCATTGAAATCAAGTGTGTTGAGAAATTCTGTAGGATACATTATACTAAGAGTCTCAAAATTTCCAGAAGATGAGTATAAAGAATCAGAGCTTAAATAAACGTGTTTTTGACCAAGTAACAAATCTATTGCATAATCATTTATCTCCGCTACAATATTATTTTTTGGTGTAACAATAGCTCGCTCTCGTAAATATTCAAAACTGGCAAAATTATTTTCAAAGTCTGGTTAAGTTGTTGAAAAATAGAATGAATATGATCAAAGTATGAATGAATGAGTAAATCATCTGGAATTTCAATCCAACATGTATCTTTGTCATTTGAATCAAGTATATCCCCAATTTGGCCATCACCCATCTGTAAAATCCAAGATGCAAAATTAGCAAGTTTTTCCTTTTGATCATTGTTTAATCCCTTTTGTGAAAGCCTCATATTTTCCTTCAACTGAAATACTTTGAAAAAAGGCCATAAATAAGAGTTATTTAAAGAGGCATCTATTATCTCTTCTTTTGTTCCAGCAGGAATAACTGGTAAAATTTGCCTAAAGTCACCGCCTAATAAAAAAGGTTTGCCACCAAATGGAGCACTTTTATTTGAATCGTTTGAATGTGATAAAATATCAGAAGTGACTTGTCTAATGCTTCAAAACAATGTTTATGATTCATAGGAGCTTCATCCCAAATAATAAGATCTGCTTTTTCAATTAATTTAGCAAGATGAGTCCCTTTCTTAATTTGATATGTTGAGCAATCTGTAACTATGAGAGGAATTTTAAATCTGGAGTGAGCAATTCTACCACCTGGTAAAAGTAATGAAGCTATTCCAGATGAAGCAACTGCTAAAACAATTTTACCCTCATATCTGATTTTACTTATTATTGTATGCCATAAAAATGTTTTTCTAGTTCCTCCATGGCCATAAACAAGAAAGAGACCCGACTTTTTTTCATTCACAGTACTAATAACACAATCATAGACAAATTTTTGGGTTTCATTAAGCTGTGTTACCAAAACAGAATGTTCTCTACTTAAATCATCACAATTGTAATTTAATTCTTCCATCAACAATTTGTTTCTAATTTATGACATTTTTCTTTCATCAAGCATAAGCAAATTATGATATTTTAAAGAGCTAGATGATGCATTAAATAGTTGCTCTAATTCAAATAGAAGAGAATTTTTTAATTCGAATTCTGGTAAATTCAGAGTTGGCATTGCAAAAGATTTTCGAAGCTCATACAAAATGTCATCACACATATATTGCCAATGACTATTAAAAAGCTGCTGATGATTTGCTATTTCACAAAATAAAATCATTGTAACAAATAATTGCCTCAACTCGCGAGATGTTGCAATATTAACTGCATTTTCTAAAGCTTCAATCCACTCTTTGTCATCCCCTAGCAAACCCAAACATTTACACGCAGCTTGATACGATGGTTGAATAATGCCGTTAACAGTTCTAATGTCATCAAAATTGAGAACACCTTTTTGAATATTGAGAAGCATTCTTAAATAGTATAACTCACCTGATGTAGGATGCACGTAGGCAATTCTGCCTATGGATCCTCCTTTTTTATTCCCTAGGCTTCCAAATCTTATGTCGAGATTCCCATAGAAACTTTGACGGCAATTCTGCATAAGTTAATGTTCGCGCTTCAGGAAAAAATTTATTTATTTCAAACCAACTTGTCAGCATTGTGTTTTCAGAAGCTTTTTGGTTAACAATTGATTCAAGTGATTGATTACTATTGAAAACAATAGTTTGTTCCAAAGGAAGATGTACTGGCAATCGTTCAACAGGAGGTTCTCTCATATGAATTGGATACTCAAACAATCTCCAAACAGCTTCGTATGAAGATATATATCTACAATTTAGACAAGCAAGTATTTCATTGTTTGAATTTTCTTCAAAAACAATTCTTGCTCGATCTGAACCTTTGTTTATGTATTTGAAAAGATATTTTATAAGCATTGATTGACAACATGACTCAACATTTATATGAGCATTGTATCTCAATAATAAATTTGAATTGTAAGGTACAACAAAACTGTTATCAATTTGCATCCCATTTTTAACCACAAATTTTGACGAATCATCACGACACCTATACACAGGAAAAGTATTTGTTTCAAAAATTGTTTCACTTTTGTATTGCTTTGGGTAAAACTTGAAACATTTTCCCTCTCGCATGCATGGAGAATTTTGATTAAGTTGTCCGCAAGGACCATGAATCATGAATTAGTTGACAATTTCATAAAGGAGAGGATCTGAATTTTTATTTGGTATTTCAGCTGAAATGATGGAATCTATGTCATCAGCAGAGTAGCATTTGTAAGGCTTCTTTAACCAAATTAAGATGTGAGCGTGAGGCAACCCTCTTTTCTGAAACTCGATTGTACAAACATTTGTTTGCAATCAAGTTAGGAAATATATAAACCACAGTCAATTTTATTGTAAAGATAAAAAGAAAGAAACTGAGAAAAAAATTTATTTTTTAAACTCACCTGCTTCAACTTCTCCAAAAGGTTCTCCCGATTTTATGTAGCAAATCATATCATCAAGTTTCATCTTAAAAACCCTAGAAATGATATCTGGTCTATCATCTGAATTGTATCCAAGTTTTATATCAAATTCTCTCACAATTTCAGGCCATTTGATATTGCAAGTGAATGTTATGAACAAATCAGGATTACCAAATTGTCTACAAATAGTCATTGCATCTTGATAGTTGTTAAGCATATATCTAGGGCTTCCTGTGTATGAGCTAGGTAATATTACTTTTTTGCCTATGTTATTAGCATCATGATCACCTTTTGATACAGCGTCATAAATACCTTTATACACCTCACTTCGTAAGTTTTTTTGGTTTTTTCTAATGTAATCCAATCGATCCTTTTCAAGTGTTGCATAAGCATCTACCAAAAATTGTTGAAAAAGTCTTCCTCCTTTTAACAATGTATCTACTTGAGACTCCCTTTCTTGAATTTGATAGGCTATAAATGCTCTCATAGTCACTCTTCCTCTTTTACATGGGCGATTGTTTGAGGGAATATTCAATTTCAAATCAGGTCTATATCCATCTTCACCATATGGAAAAAGAATGAGATATTGTAAAGACATAAATTTTGGATTTAATTTTGTCATACGTTTTAGTTCACCATCTTTAAACTCTATGACAATATCTCTATTTGAGTCAAATTGACCAATATCACCCACTATTAAACCAGTGATTTCATCACATATAGGTTGTCCATATTGTTTATCATCATTTAATTGCCTACCCAATATAGTTATTTTCAAAGAAGGAAGAGAATTGTTTTCAAATTTATCTCTAATTGTTCGAAACACTTGAACCAATTCATTTGATTCATTGAACATGTTGATCAAACCTTTGACAATATTCTGATCAAACCTCATATTTGTTTCCTTACAATTAACAGCATTGAGACGATTTCCAATTTCATTAGCAGTGTCATACGCATATAGTTGTGCAAACTTTGGACATTCACCATCAGGGGGTAACAAAGAGCCCATTAAATGATGCACTTGACCACTAATTTTAAAAATGTAAGGGCCTGACTGATTGTTAACTGTGTGATCAACTTTAGCTCCCATTGAAGTAAATGCAAACATTGAATTATAAGCTCTAATGTTCTGTCTAAACAATAAGCTTGTTTGGCCTTTAGTTGGGTCAAGCAAATTTTCTAAAAAGTGAGGAGTAGGCATTGGACGTGGAAGCTTGACTTTTCCTTGTTGGCAACAAAGAGAATAAAGGGGCTCATTATTCTTGGACTTCTGCTTTAAAGACTCTTTTATCCAAAAAAGTGCACCACAATGGATGCACTTATAATTTTTGTCTCCCAAATCCACATATTTCTGAACATTTCCTATTGAAAAAAAAGGTGAAGGGAGGGAAAAAAAAGTCAACCTATTAGAAGCAAAGTCATAAATACATAACCAACCCAAAGAAATTGTAAGTTAAAAAGATAGTTTACCTTTTTTATTTTTCTGAAAATTGGCTTAACCTTTACTAATTTGATTCGGATTATCAAATGTATCGACATTGACAATTGTTTGAACTGTGTTTGTACTTGTTGAACATACATTGTCAACATTTTTTTGTCTTTCGTTTTCAAATTCAAAACTTGGTTTATCACAAACTTGTATGCCACTGGAAGAACCAACAATATGGTCTTCTTTTCGTCTTTTGTTCTGAGGTTCAAAGCCTGGTTTATCACAAACTTGTATACCACTGGAAGAACCAACGATATGGCCTTCTTGTATCATTCTATTCAGTTTGGTATTTGTAGACCTTGTTAACATGGCTTGAAAAATGTTTGAACTCCAAACAACAGATAATGGGCTAAGAACCCTAGGAAAAAAGTCAATTATTAAATACTTGACAATATGTAATCTACAATCAACCAAAACAAACACATAGAAGTTACATTTCGATGGTGGTGAAGACGAACCCAGAAAATTAGTAAAAAATTTTCTAACCCACAAAATCATCAAGTTTTTTCTAAAGTCTAATTATATCAAATCAGAAATTTGAAGCAGATTTGAAAATATAATAGGTGTAGAAAGTACCTGTGTTGA